TAAAATATAGATTTTTACCAGTATATACTCTTTAATAGAAAAATAGCTTCTGACCTATCAAAGGAGACCAGAATTATGCATCTAGGCTTAATGGTTGAAGAGTTATTATTGATTTTTTTGGGTATGTTATTTAGGTGTTTTTCCTGGAAATAGGTGTTTCCTTAAGCAACAAACTACTTGGTTAAGGTTAGGAAAAGATCGTGGTTTGGGTTAAAACAACTACATACGTCAGTTAACACGTAAGTTAATTAAAGTCATTTGTGTAACTTACACAATTTACATAACTCGCCTAACTTAAATAAAAATATTTAACGTTGACTTTTTGTTTCACAAGGGACACGAACACTGGTCTCCTGGTTCAAAGTCTGGGTTTGGGCCCTCCATCCACCCCAACCACCAACTTACTCAGTCTTTGTGTTAAATATCATATACCTAGCTTTACCGTCTAAAACTGACGCTACAGGGCTTCCCCCACAGTGTTGAACTATGACGCAATACCGATGCCCAGTGTGTTACAAACTGACGCCGATGGGTCTTGACCATGCGTCCATAAGTGAAGAGTCGGGGAGTGAGATGGGTTGTCCCTATATTTTAGTAGATATTTTAGAGCTCTCCCTAAATTTCTCAAATAAGGCTTCATGTGACCTCATGTCTCTTTGGCTTTCAGGGGAGCTCGGCTCCCCTAAAAAGAGTTTTGGGTGTTGTAAGTAAGATGTTATATCCGCCACTCATATCATTGATTACATTTGTAGCACACTTGGTGTAAAAGCTGTGAATTTTTTTTTTTTAATTTTGACATCTCCGTTTTGTTTATTGTGAAGACTGTTTTGAAGAAAGTGCACTTATAAAGCCTTTTCTTATCTGTAATATCTCTCTTTGACATATAAACACAGTATGGTATGAATACATTGTTTTTCCTCCTAACTTACATCTTGCTACCCCCTTCCATAGGTAATTGTTTGGGGCAACTATGGACGGATGGATCGCAAATGCTTCATGGGCGTAGCTCGAATCCTATTGGAGGAGCTGGACCTCAGCACAATGGTGATTGGCTGGTACAAGCTCTTCCCTACCTCCTCCATGGTGGACCCAACAATGGCGCCACTCATCCGCCACTCCTCCCAGATGTCCCTGGAGAGCACCATTGGGCCCTGTTGTGAGCGATCCTAAGACTAAAAAGTTTTGTTGATGCGAAGATTCCATTGCTGTCTCAACCAAATCCTAAGACACATTTTTATATACCCTGTAGGCCTGCGCCCGGGTCAACCCCGGTGGTACTGCCCCTGGAGCAGATAGGTGTTAAGTATCTTACTCAAGAGCACTTTGAAAGGGCCTACCACACTTGGGACTGAACCACTCTCCTGACTGGGAAATGATTTTACTAACTAGTAGGTCATTTTGGCACTCATTGGAAATGTACTGTAATTCTTTTGATATTGTATCAGACTGTTTCCCGACACTCATGGGAAGCATAATTCTTTTGTTGTTGGAACCGACCGCCCCTCAGACTCACAGGAAAATTTTGCTCTCTTCAGATCTCTATGATGAAAAACAAAAACCTACTTAATGAGGATACTTCAAAGGAGGGCTCGGTTGCCGACATTGATCACATCCTATTGGGACCACAATACACTGCGGGCTCAGCTTTGCTTCAGCTACGCGACTTCTTCACAGCCTACATTCGATTCTCATTCCAGGACTGCTTGTTGTCTTTCTGTGTCCACATTTAGGGGCTGAGCAGCTCCTGATTGTTATCTGTCTATCCACGGTCCAGAGAGAATTTGAGACTGACCTCAGACTGTTTGAGACACCAGCCTCCCATTTTGCAGGAGCACAGGGATAGTAGGTTTTAGGTGAATGGATCTGTGCGCAGAAGGACTACAGTTGACTTTAAAAAAAGAATTAAGCTTATTTGTTGTAACCAACAAAACATCTTGGTTTGGAACACTGACTCAAGCTGTTTGGGGTTTTTGTGTCACACATTTTGCTCTTCAGTGTTCAATTAATTTGGTACTATGTGCATTTGAATCGAGTAGATGAATGAAAGTCACTTTCATCTTCTGGAAGGATCCAGATCTCTACCTGATATAGGGGATCCAGAGTATTGCTGGGTTTCTATCCTACCAATTAGTTAGTTAGGACTGCAGTTAAATACGTTTACCTGCAGTGCCAGGTAAAAGTAAGTTTCCGAGTGAATTTATATGGTTAAAAAGAAGAACTAGCTGGTTCTGAGTTCCCAAAGACCATGTGCCAGTATGACCCAAGACCTGTACATTTTCACAATCAATCACAATATTAGCTGATTTGACTTATTATTGTGTCTCTCATGGAGGGTGCTTATCAGATAAATCAGCTAGTGTTATGCTTGGTAGGAATGAAAATGTGCAGCCTTGTGAATTGTTTTTGAAAAACTGAACCAAGTCCCCATTTTACCTGGTTGTTTCTTAAATCTGTAGCAAATTGATTTCAAATAGATTTCCAGCGTATGTTTGCATATGATAGCGTAATTCTGTTTCTAATTCTGCCAGATGGTACAAAAGTCTGAAAGTATTTGTTGGGTGTCATCCAGAATCCTTCCTGGTGCATAACAATATGCAACATAGCCACTCACAATACATCCCAAAGTAGAAGAATGGTGGATACAGATATCTGGTCTCACAACCAAACTAAATTGGATTTTGCGCATGCAATATTTTGTATTAGATTATGATTGAAGAATTCAAACCTGCTAACCATAGATGCATGTGACTATTACGTCCAAATGTAATGTGGTTAAATCTTATCAGGATTCAATCTAAATTCAACTGAAGTAAATGGGGTCTGAAATGTTGAGGGTGCTTTGTCCTCACTTGGTTCAATTCTGTTCTGTGTTTTACATTTACACATCCACCTGGTAATGCAGGTCACATCAAGTACAGGAGGAGATATTGTACCTGTGTTGTACAGACACAGGGCGCTAATACACAAAAGACAAAAGCATTGAGAATAGTAGCCTGGCTGACAGTAGGGCTGAAAACTTGTTCCATATCCCAGTCTAATTGTATTTCAGATGCTCTTAAGCTAATACTCTAGAAGTAGATTTTTAAGAGTCCTCCTCTCTTTTTTTAAATCTTTGGCTAACAGTTGTCTAATAATAGTTTCTAGTGTGCCAATTTCTACCAGCAAGTGTCTTCTTCAATTACCTTGCGGCATGTGCTATTGTGAGGGAGGAACAGAAACAACCACTCACAACATCTGACAGCAGTATTCAGGCTACTCAGAGAAGCGTCCCCTTTATTCTAAATTACAGCCCTAATCCACAGACCGCCAAGGCACCTGGTGATTAGCCATGCTACGACTCAGTATGGTGAGAGGAAGAAAGGGAGGAAAAAGAAAGAGAGAGGAAGGAAGCATGAAATGTACTTTGCATCATCCAAACAAAGGAGATGTCTGGACTGACGTCAGATTTCAAGAAAGGACAAAAAATAGGATGAATTTAAAGGGAAAACGTGCACACTGTAGAAACTTTATAGTTTATTAAAGAACAAAACTACATGTATTTAATTTGGGCACTTTATGATTCTTAATGTCTTTTTTATATGTAAATATTATGGTTGTTAGTGTATTTTGGAGTGAGCCAAAGTTAATCAATAATGACTTAATTGATTAATGTTAAAACTCTGAGGGAGGGAAGAGATATCCTTGCTAGTTACTGTAAGATTGTAGCATTAGCTGGTAGCATCCACATGACTTATTAAAACTTCTAATGAATTAGCAGAAAACTCAATAAGACAAAGCATGACTGAGCTATACGCTACACAGAAAGAGGAGAAATGAAAATACATTATGTTGGGTTGAGTCCCAACATTAATTGATGAATACATACATATGTAGCAATTTAGTTCAGATTCAAAGTTTACTGGATTTAATTTCGTGCGGTTTGCTTTCACAGAGAATACAACAACTGACATCTGTAATAAGATCCAAAAACTGTTTTGTTTTTTAACTTTGATTTCAGAACAAGAGCATTTCTCTTAGACAATTATATAATAAACACACAATTTGGAGTAATTTTACTCAAAAAGAACTTTGCAAAATAGGCCTCTGTTTTGCCAGTAGCAGTGTTGCAGGGATATTAATATTGTAATTATTTCCAAATAAATTAAAGCAACATTCTGTAAAGCAATAATCAAAAAACATCCAGTCATTGTAGTTTTTCAGTTGCACAGTGTAAACTGTGGAAAATGACTAGCTTAGCAAGTGATTTTTACTGCAGTTTTGTATTTATCAGAATTTACGGAACATTTGTAATTCCAAAACATGCTCTCTGTTAACTGCTCTGATTTATTTGACAGTCATAGTGTCCTGATGTCTGAGAAAAAATTGTAGGGCAGCAGGATATTTATGATTTAAAACACCTTGAAAATAGCTGGAAGGCAGGAACTGAGAATCACTTGTTAAGATCTGTCATTTTAACCCAGTGTATTCATCTGTTTGTTTGTTTTTTCATAACTTATTCCAGGGAGAATGTCACGTAGTCTCTGGGGGAATCTCTGTTTACAGAAGTATCTGAAATATATCCAATGTACATTTAAATTTCTGATGTGAAAAATGCAGGATCATTTTTCACAACCTGAAATTATAGTGAATAGCATGGATTTTAATCTAATGATAACAATGATTGCCTGGTAGTGAAAACAAAAGGGGACTGATGATATTAGAAAAGTTGTATAAATCAAATATAAACATATATATATAAATATATTTAAAAAGAATTAACTCCTCTGACTGTGACCCAAGGAATGTGTTTTGTCATTGTTACTTTGTGCCAACATTTTTACATATTTTGAGGGCTGATTTTCCAATTGAGGACTAATGAAAGAGGGAAGTTTACACACTTGGCATTGCATTTTTCTTCTGCAACCCATAAGCAGTGTAGATTTTGTTTAAAGAAATGTCTTTGCATCCAAGAAGAAGAACTTTGTGACTGAAACTAAAGTAATATTGCATGATAATGATCTAGATTTAGTGAAGATGGATCACAAAGAGAGTTAGTAATATAAAGTGGCAATGGTAACCATCATAGAAGTTTTCCATCTATCTACATCTAACCTGCAGCAGCTGCAAGTACAACACAAGTGTTGGAAAAAGTGAATCATTGTAAACCAAGAACTGAACTGAATTTAAAAACCTTTCCTCTTAGGGGTGGAGCAGCATGGCAGCAGTAGTGTGGCATGTTTGCAGTGAATGATGGGTTTTCTATGATGGCTGCAGGTGCACTCTGGCATTAGTGTGAATTTGTGAACATTTTCTTCTCTAATTGTTTGGGAGAGAGACAAAATATATGCCAACATTGCTAGCAGGATTAAGAATAATTAATGTATGTTTATTAAAAATTCATTGTGTAATTTTGCTCATCAAAATCTTCTTGTTCACCAGTCTGAATTTGCTTGTGACATTTTGTAACTTTGGAGGCAAACGAATGGGCTAATGAACTATGTAGATGTTATAGTTGACATATTAAGCACCAAAAATGTACGTTTTTGCATTCACCCATATTTTGATTGTGTCTGCCACATGGATGTTAATTATCAATTGTAATGTAAGTAGAGGCCTTAAACACATCGATATACATTTTGTCAGGGCTAAGGACTAAGAATTGTCACATAAAGTAATCAAAACAACGCAAAAAAAGTTTTACAGTGTCACCCTTTCAGCCCATTACTTAAAGTAATGTGAAGTGTCATCCATAGAAATGATTATCTTTGCGTATGTTCGTAATGAATTTCTGATACACTGATATTTCAACTGACTATTTGTGTATTCTCCCCACTCCTTGTTGTGGGCTTAATTGAACAAACTGAGCAAAAAAAACATTTTTGCAGAGTAGGTATTCAATGATTCTGACCTGTTTCAACACTTATTTTCTAAACTTAAAAGTTGCACTAGTGTTTATTTATTGAGGTTTGAATGCACCTAATGGTACTTTTGGTAAATTTGGTTTAAAATTTCAGAACACAAAAGAACATTCGCAATCTAGCCATCTGTACCATGTTTCCCACCCTAACTGGCTTTTAAGTTGATTTTCTGCAAAAAACAGACATTTTCACTCAGTCATTATTACTACTCAATTCTATGGCACCTTCAGGGGCCATTCAGATACAGAGAGAAAAGTCTAGTGACACTTGTGTTACATACATTAAGCAGCTTATGTGTTCAGTTAATAACTTTTAGATGTGAAACAAAGGTAACATTACCATAAAATTATCTGTGCCATCTCCAATATTGCACTGTAACTGTGCTTTTTTCTTGATCTCAAGAATAAATAAAAGTATGAATGATGTTTGCATTCCATTCCTCCTGGTTGACACTGGCTATATTTACATGCACACAATAAACTATTGTGAGTTCTCTGACTGAAAAACAGTAGCATTAACATGATTTGAAGTATTTTTCCTAACTGTTTGTGCACATTTGAACAATATGTAAGGACAACCTAATCAAAAGAAGATATGTTCAGGCAATCAAAAACACAGCAGTAACATGAAAACAAATCTACAGTAAAACAGCCATAACTGTAACTAATAATTTCCATTTTAAATGTATTATAGTCATAGTTATAGTCACAGTAGTGAGATATAATCACCAAGTTGTGGCACTGGGCAACTTTTGGGTCACAGCAGACTGTGCCAGGATGTTATTTTGATGTTAATTTCACAATGATCTTTGAAAGTCTTTGAGTTCATATGTCCGTTACATTACTGTCCTAACTGCAATACAACCACATTTTTGTACGCATTTATGTGGGTCATTGGCAAGTTCTGAGCTAACCTTGATACAAAATGGCATAATTGTCTACCTTTCTGAATTTGTTGAGTTTAGGGGTGTCATGTTTTAGTAAACCTGATTATTTACACAAAGAATGCACAGGCAAAGCTGTGTGTCTGTTTTTTGCAGAAGATCAACCTAAGAAGTGAATCTAGGTTGAATTCCCTTTGAAGTTCTAAAAAAAATTTCTGTTACCTTGAATTGTCCATATCGTGTCCTTCTTAAGTTGATGCGTTTTACTGATTAGGAAGAAAGAGCATTATTTGTGTACTTTTCTTTTGGAGTGACAGTGTGCACATTTCTAGACACATATCATATCATGTTCTCTCCAGGGGAAGAGGTGGAGGAGTGGGAGGATGAAAGGATAGATGAAACTCGTCTGCTGCTGTTACGAAACAGTGGCTGGAGGATCCCAAAAGCAACACATCTCCTCCGGTCTGCTACAGAGGCAGCAGTTTGGGACTTTCCTTAGAGGCCACCCCCAAACCAGCCCTCATAGAAGTGTTCCCCCATCTGCCATCTGGTAGATCCTCTCATTCAAAGCGTCCCACATTACCATGAGTGAATATGTTTTTAGGTTGAGTGACCCCAGTGTAAATCAAAGCCAACGAGTTTCGTAACTTGTGTTTCTAAACACCATTCCTGGTTACACTCCCTCACATTTCTACACAAACATTGCTATTCATACACTTGTGTGAACTCATTTGGGCTCCAAACCCAAATCCAAACATCAATAATGGTTGATGATGCAAAGTAATTTTATCTACAGCAATCACAGCCTTGAATTAACATCTCTAAACCAACAAATAAGGCCTTTTGAGGACATTTGAGAAATTTTCTAACATGACATTTTCGTAAGGCTCCAGACAAAACTATACAAGAAGGGGATGTTTTGGTTTTGGGATACTAGATGAGGTGTGATGAGTTTGACAGGCTTTCTCATGCTTTCAGGAATGCATGATATGGGCAACTGCTGGAAACAATGCTGATGGAAAATCCTCAGTGATGAGAATGTATCCAGGGAAGGTTTTCTCACACATTCCTTTGGTTAAACACATTTAATGAGTTGCTCCATCCCATCCTACAATCTTCTACTGTCACCCACTGAGTAGCTTCATTGGAGCAACTGACCTGTTGCATTTGTTGCTCAATGGCAGCCCAGCAGTATCAACAGAAAGGGAGAACATCACAGTTTGATCTCCACATTTTAAGAATCACCTAGCCATTTAAGCATTTCAAACTTCCATTTACAAATATGTTGTAATTTTTAAAGATGTTTGAAGATTCTTTCCATCCAATCTGTAGGTTAGTGTCAACAATTGACTAATGTTAGCAAAGCATTAAGCAGCAAATGCCCATCTGCATTGATTTCCATTTGTTGCTCATGTATTACTGCCTTGAGAACCTGAATGTTATCAGAAGAGTGACCAAGTGCTGTAACTTTAGTTTTATTCACCGCACTGTCATTTAAGACACGTATATTTGCAGATTCTTTGGCAAACTGTTATATTGTTGAGTAAATGCACAATTTGGTGTATTGTTATTCTATTCCAGCTGTCAATAAAATAGTTCTCCATCATTAGATGTTTTAATGTTTGGTTTTATTCATGTATTTGTTTACTTTGTGGTGATAAAATTATGTAAGACACATCAGAGACTACATATCCTATGCGGCTTTGACAGCAAGCTAATGGCGAAGATTCATGGGATATGCTGTTGTTGAAAGCTGGTCCTTGTCACTTTATCTTGGGATAAATGTGAAGTGTTCAAATTGTACTATCCAGTAGAAGAAACTACAGAACGGAAAACTCCAGAAAATGGTTCAGCTTTTTAGAAAGGCTGATGAAAGAAAATAATTCATGCTTTGTCAAGTCTGTCCGCAAGATGACAAGCAAACAACTTTTAAAGTGCTTGTTTTCTAAATGGCGTTCGGATCGATCAGGGCTATGCTATGCCAACTTGTTTTATAGTAACGTACAACAATAGCTTTCCAGCTATAGTAACAAGTAACAGAAACATATTTTCAGAACTTACCAGGTAGTTAAACTTCCTCGCTCACTTTTTTCAAGTAAAAAAGTAACGTATTTGCTGTTGCGGGGATCCGATGATTGAGAATGTAGGCAGGGTGCAAACTACAGGGGAGCTCGGCTCCTCTTAACAAGACAGTAGCTCCCCTGATGGATCATGCGTGAATAGATTTGTATAGGCTATGTGTTTGTGCTTTAACGAATTACTTTCATGATTAGAGAGGCTGCTGTCAGTTCATCCTGACCAATCCTGGAGTGTCAGGGGATTCAAATAATCAATGACATTATGCGGCTATACCTCGAGCGCCAAACCGCCACCAGATGTTGGACAAAGGTAACACAATTAAATATCAGTCAAAGAGGCTTAGCACAGTATATTGTTAATGTTAAGATTGTTCACATAATAATAATAATAATAAATAAAAAATAACACCTGACATCTATACACACCACGAGATTAACAATACTGACAAACATAGACAAACAACAGAATATTTCAAAACCTGTCGAGTACAATAGATAGTTAATGGAATTATATAACCACTTAGAATCAATAAGCTACATATATCAACAT